CCTTCCTCCTTCTCCACCAGCTTCTCCCTTCTCCCCCTCCTCCTCCTCTCTCGATCCAAACATTCTCGCGTCTTTGCACATCTTTGTAGTTCTTGCTGCCGACATCGTACAATTCTGGGTGATTTTGAACGAGTAAAATTAGTTGCTCATCAATGTTTACCTCCTCCATGATTTTGCTGCTATGCACTGACGTGACTAGGGTGGCGTGAGCAGAACACGTGATACAAAACAATCGCGTTGATTGGTTCAATTGTCTTTTCGCCGTCACGTCAGCCGGCAAAAGTCAAACTCATTTGACTTTCGCCGTCGCCGTGAAACCCGGCTGGCGCCGTGCCGTGTCAGCAGGGGTCAAAATTAAATTTTTATTATGGTATCCATTCGGGATATCAGGTATTGAAATCTGGTATCCCAGTCTGCACGAAAATCTTCCACCCTCATTGGCCCAGCGGGCCTGTAGAAATGTATAATTCACTGGCCCACACTAGGTTTTACAGGCCCGAATCAATGATCATCATATTATGAAAAGAGAAACCAAACCGGACCGGAAACCAGAGGTTGTTGCGACCTCTAGCGGCGATAAACACGCATGGTGTTGACTAGTTACTTCCCCTACTTAAGATCGGGAATATGATGCCCTATCGATAAATATCGGTAAATTTTCATACAAAATATCGGGAATTTCGGTAAATTCTCACACTGATCATCACATAAAGAACATGAAATATCATTAATAGAATATTTACTCCATTTTTTCCACTGGCCCACCGGGCTTGTTCATTTACCAGTTTCATTGGCCCCACGGAAAATTTACTGGCCTCAGATACCGGGCCAGTAGTTAATTTCGCAGACTGGTATCCCCCCAAAGATCTGGTATCCTATTTTTTGGATTGTAATTTCAACAATGTTGGTATCCACAATCTTGAAATATGCAATAATAGCATTTGAAAATTATTAATATGTAATGTAATTATATGAATGTAATAATGGAATAATGAATGTCTGATTTTAATAAAAACATGAAAACAGATTCAAGGATATGCAGACAAGTATGCACAGACACTGCAGACGTATTGTCTAGACGCATTGTCTGGTTTGCTTGATACAATGTATACACATTTATGATCAACATCAGCCACGCTTATATGCCCAACAACCACTATCCCGATTTTGACGATTTTTTTTTTACTATCCCGGCGGGTTACCAAGCATTGAAATCTGGTATCCAACACAAGAATCTACTATCCCGTGGATATCGGAATACCGCTAATTTCGACCCCTGAGTCAGTGGAGACTGCGCCATAAGATATAACAGATTTGAACTTTGCAGACGCCGTTTCCGTGGCGTTCCGTGCCGCGCCGCGTGTGTGGAGACGGGCCTTAACCATATCAGATAGTTACCAGGGTACGTTCCGGTATACCGGACCGTACCCAGGGTACGTTCCGGCAGTACCCTGGGGGACATAGACCCTATGAGCCGTACTTATGATACATCCCAAACAATGCACGCATTTCTATTATGTATGCTAAATTATTTGCATGCTTATATAAACGATAAGCACTTAGACGCATTTCTAATACATTGAATCCCGAATAAAATTCTGAAGTGACCAGAAACAGATGGTCTGTCAACGGAAATAGGTCACAAAGGCGTGTAAAATAAGAAAACGCGAGTTGGAAAATAAGACCATGGGGGGTATCGGCCGTTTTATTCGAAACTCCAACGTTACGAGTTAAATTTCTGATATTTTGACGCTCATTTTAATGTAATTAGTTGCTTGAATATTGGAATACTACCTAGAGCCTACACAGAAACATCAAATATTAAAAAATTAACGTTGTAATGCGCTCTATTGTTTGATTTTACCTGTGAAAGTATAAACCTCCGTGAACTGGCAAGATGGATGATCTTTTGTTTGTAGGAACCGTCACGTGCTGCCCCCTTTTCTATACAAAGCGGCTCAGCTATGAGTATGGGCTCAGCACATAGACCTGTGTGCATGTGTATATGTATGTATGTATGAACGGGAACCTTTAGATCGGTATTGCCCTTTTTAATTTTTTTGATAGTTTCCCCCCGGTAATTTCACTTTACCGGGAGATTTTTTTCCGGAGCTTCCAGGCTGATTCTAACTAATGTTTAACCTGCTCTACCCATAACATCTATGTTCATTTAGCCCCAAGATGGTGAGCATCACCTGTCTTTCCTCCAGCTGTACAGGGGTGACCCCCACTTCTTGGAGCCTGTCCCACATGATCTTCCTTAGGTGTTTGTATGCCGGGCAAACTAACAGGAAATGCTTTAGGTCTTCTAGTTCTCCCTTATTGCAGACAGTGCAGTTTTCTTCCCCTAACCATCTCCTTTTTCTTTCATTTACGGGGAGGCATATCCCGCTCTAAATTGGTACAGCAGCTTAATTACTGCCGATTTTATTATTATTGTAAAAGGTTTCTTGTTTAGGAAATGTTTTTCCTTTATATAGCTCTAGTGTGCTTTTGTTTACCATCCTCTTTCTCCATCTGACTGTGCTGCCTTTTATAATGATTTTCTTCACCGTATTGTTCCCTGTTTCGCTGTTTTCCCATGCAGTCTCTATTTAATAATAGCTGTTCTTTGTCATACTTTCCCCCCAGGAATTTTACTCGTCTATTCCAATCCGACGTAAAATTTCCTGCACTGATAGCTTCTGCTATTCCCCTGCATTTCCTCTCTTCATCCATATAAATTAATCTCCCTAAATATTTAAGTTTGCTCTTCGCTTCTCTATCCTCAAACGTAGACCATCCAAGCTCCCCCCCCCCCTTTATTGTTTCAATACCCGCGTAAGGTGGGGCACCTAACAGTTTCCTGCCAAGCTGGTTTTGGGTATTTTCAAGAGCTTGGAGAGTGCCTGTTCCCTTTTTTATCCTTATATATGATTATGTCATTTCCATAGGTTAGGGCAGGTAGGGCCTACTGCTACTGTCTTCCACAGTTCTCTCCCTACCCAGTAACTGCTGCAGCTATAGTATGCCTTCGTTGCTATTATCCCTAGGTATTTCCTTGCCTTTACTCGCACTTCGCCTTTATGTAGTTCGACACAGTTTTTTATGTTATTGTTTATTTTAATTCTTAGGTATGTGTAATTGCACTGTATTCGTTAACGGTTTCTAGACTTATAGCCTCCCTAGTTTGAAATTTGCATCCTCATATTCCGCCTTATTATTATTAAAAATCATGACTTGAGACTTGTCTTCGCCGTATATCATTTTGTAGTCTTCTGCAAAGCCTGCCGCCACATCGAGTAATTCCTGCAGTTCCCTGTTATTATCGGCTATCAAGACCACATCATCAGCATACAGCATCCCTGTGGTTCTTTCCCTCCCTACACCTAGTTCTTCATTTTTCTTTTCTAGTCTATGAGATAGCTCTCTTATATAGATGGCAAAGAGCAACGGTGATAATAAGCATCCTTGTTTGACCCCTCCCGTGGATTTAACCCAACCTGATTCATATGGGCTTAGGCTAGCCTTAGACTCATTTCCCTCGTACATGGCCTCTATTAGCCGGCTAAATTTGTCCCCTAACCCAACTCTTCTGAGTTCACGTAGTAGTTTCCTTCTATCTATCCAGTCGTATGCTTTTTTTAAGTCTAGGAAAGCCACATACAGGGTTGATTTCCTGTATTTTGCCTTCTGTATGCTTTGGGTCAGAATATAAATGTTGTCACTTTGCGCGTCTGTCCATTCTGAAGCCATTTTGGAGTTCCCCTAGAAATCCGGAGTTTTCCAGCAAGTTTTCTAGGCGAGTCCTAAGGATTCCTGCAAATATTTTACCCACATTACTAGTTAGTGCTATTGGTCTGTAGTTTTTTTTAAAGTTTTCTATCCAGGTTTTTTCCTTTGAAGACTAGCGTGACTCTGCTCCTTTTCCAGCTTTCCGGAAATACTTCGCTCTCTAAAATCTTGTTGAATAGGTCTTTTAACCTTTCCACTACTATTCTCCCACCATGCTTTATGAATTCATTTGGGATATCATCCCACCCGCATGCCTTTTCCAGCTTTGCCACCGTTATCCTACCTATAACGTCTTCTATGGTTACGCTATTTGTTAAGTCCGCCGCTTTATCCATTTGGAGGTATACTCTCCTGTTTTGTAAATTTTTGTTAGCCAGACACGCTCTTTTATCTTCATTTGCCTCTTTCCAATGTTTTCTCATTTTCATGTTAATATCGCTTTTGTTTTCTAAGACGATATCATGTATCACGACATTGTATCAGTGTATGTGTACCTCTGTGTAGGTGTATGCAGTGGCGGATTTAGATGGTGGATTGGGTGGCTTAGCCACCCTCTGTTGGACTAACAATATTTTTTCACATATACCAATTAATTATTGCCAAGTAGGATATAATAGTCGCGCTGCTGTACAAAACGGCACCTGATGCATGGGTTAAATTATGTAATTGAGTGGCAAAGCAGGTTACAAGCCTTTTACAGCTTTTTCACAATTCCAAGAAAGAGTTTTGCTGCCGCCCTCATCTCTGCGGTGGTCACCCCTTACATATTCAATAATGAACGCGACTTAAACAATCACCCTCCTCCTGTACATCAATCAATGCCGCGCTGCATGCGCAAGAATTGTTTTACTAAAAAGATAATGGTCGTAGTCAGAATGAAGGTTGTACATGTACTCAAACGTGCGTCAAATACCATCTCCTGCAATCTAAATTTTCAAAATTTTCTGGGGGAGGAGCCCTATACGTATCACACTACCCCCTCCTTCAAATCCTGGATCCGCGTGACTGTGTATGTGTATGCGTGTGCATATTCGTATGTGTACTATATGTGTGTGTATTTCTATATGTATATGTATATGTATATGTATGGTATTTCTATATGTATATGTATGCGCATGCGTAAAGCCGTATATACAGGGCCGTAGTTAGCAGGATGGCGGTGGGGGAGCAGTTAAGGCCTACCATCAGACCGATGTAGATGATATTACATGGTCAGTGGTGGCATGGCGCAAATAAGGATTTATCAGCACAACATCAGTATATTCTCAGTGTCTCTAAATACATGATATTAGACAGTATAGTGCATATAGTATCGGAACATGACCCCTAACACACACACACACACACACACACACACACACACACACACACAATACACACAAACACAGACGCGCGCGCACGCACGCATGCAGGCACACGCACGCAAACACACGCACGTACATACACGCGCACGCACGCACGCACACGCCATTTCTGGTATGTTACCGCATCATCCAAATTGTTATGAGCAAAAATGTATTCGTCATCGGCTGTAAGGAATAACTATATACATTGCCTGTGTACTTCTCTTCCTTCCTCAAGCCCGCTAGACACACTCGAGAGGGAGAATTGATAGCGGGGGATAAGGACTCTATATTTTGTCTATATGTTTATATCTCGTAGGATGCTGGTAAGCGAAAATTGTAACAAACATTAGTAGTGTTAGATGTATTTCAGGGGCCGTGTTAGTAACAAAATAGTCTTAAAAATTAGTGTCTTTTATTAGTCTTCATTGCCTTTTTTCTCACGACTGTTGACAGAAACGACAATGAACTTCTCAAAAGCAGTGTAGAGAGGTTCTGGTTTACGATAAAAGTTATAGACTAAGGTTAAAAAGTTTTTTTTAGACAATAGGCTCCAAATTTCTTAGCTGCTTCTCGTTAAAATATATCTTCCTATGGGGAAGTAAATAGCTGATATATTTGCTGTCGTCTTTGAACAGTATCGGTACTTTGAATAAAATTCAATTTACCATTATGTGCGAATTTTATGCCATCCACATTTGGCAATAACAGACATACATATATTAGTACATATATATACTTAGATAACATATATTCAATATATGGCAACGTTCCCGAATATAACCTTTATAACGTTCTACGTGTTTAATGTCAACACAAATAAATTTCGAAACCGTTGCTAGGAGGCATCATGGTACATATTGACATTCTCAACAGGACCCAATTCATCCGTGACGATTTTCCCAAGTATTCTATTATACATTTGCTCGGAACATTTGTCAGTTTCAATATGACAGCTGCGGAAACGGATTAGACGCATGCAGATTGTAGGTGGAGTTTCGCAGTAAAATTACAGAGCAACAGAAAAGATTATAGATTCAGATGCACGCGATGAATACTAGCTCAACAATACAGTGTGAATATTCCAGGCAAGAATTATATCATACGTATACATCATCTAAGTTGCTACTTACGCACAAATGCGAGCGCCGAAGCGATTACTCTCAGCGGAACATACAAAACAGCAACGCATAATACACAACGCATCCACGTGTCAAATCTGTTACTTAATCAAAACAATAACACATCATTTCTTTCTAGACTAAACATTGCGCATATCAAGTTTGTTAGCTTTGCTCAAAATATGCTCACATCGAATTTGCCATGATAACGCCAAAAATTCGTGATTCAGTTGATACCGTACACAAAATATGCATACAACAAACTTGTTACTTGCGCAAAACACACGTACATTAAATTTGAATTGTCATGTAGGCAAAACATGTGTGCATAAAAGCTGTCGTGGTCAGGGTTTCCGCGCGACAAGTAAATGCATTGTAGTTGAAAAGAAAAACATTAAAAAACATCGTGGCCTATATTGTATGAAATTGTCAACATTCTCGATTCTGAATGCTATTATAAGGACATATTGCTTATTTTCATACTGTTATTATTCTTACACCCATTTTATAGCTAGCCGGATGTCGATGCCATAAAATATATATATATGCATCGGTGAAATAAATATAAAAATATATGCATGAGTCATTTTACTCAGGTGTGCGGCGGATTTTCGTTGAGTAATTTGACTCATGCCGTCATTTTACGTGAGTGAAATAACTCACGTGTGCGCCGGGGCTTAAGACTCACATATTGTACTTTATTGCAGTGTAGTTTGGGAAGTTATTGGTTTTGTTTACCTTAGCGTATATTACTTGTATCCTATTAGGATTTTTAGAAAGTTTTCCGCCGTAAGAGTATGTTTTTGTCTACACCGTCGGTGTGTTTCACTACATTTCGCATCGTTTTTGTTGTAGCTTTTTAGAGTGCGCTACTTTGCCTCGTTCCTTTTTCCCTTTCCTTTTTTAGTCACTCGTCTGCGGCTTCATCGCTACTAGTCCATCCTCGCATTTTCTTTCTCTATAGTCTCTCGTTGTTCCGAGTTTCTGTTAACGTACTTAACAGAAACTCTCGCTTTGTCGTATCTTTCTTTCTTCGTCATCGACCTGTTTGCTGTTCGTTTGTTATTTTTTTCACGAGGTCAACCTCGTTGTTGCTACCTGTAATGCGCTATGATTTTTGAAACTCCGCGCTAGACCGTGTTCAAGAATCTCGTGCAGCTCGGATGCCGCGTCGCCGAACAGATACGCGACGGCTCGTTCTTATTTGATCTGCACTAGCTTACAGGGTGTTAGATAAACGCGTAAGTCATTCTCTCGCGTGAAAGGCTTCACACGGAGTGGGGACTAGCCAGAGGGAGCCGAGCGAGCGAAGTGGATGAATATCATCGTGACGGAGACTATATAT